TTCAAAAACATTAATTTTTAAAAAGACACGTGGCTTCTGTCTCAATGGCATCCTCTCTCACGGGCTCCCTTTGATGAAGCCAGCTGCCCTGTTGCAAGCTGCTTGGTGGAAAAGATCTGATGGCCAGGAATGGAGGTACTCGGTCCAACCGCCCTCAAAGAACTGGATTCTGCTTCTGACAGAGCAGGAAAGTGGGTCCTCCTTGACAGAGCCTAGGCATAAATCACTGAAAAGCTGACACTTTTTCCTTTCTTCCCTTTCTTGACACAAGGTCTAGCTATGTAGTTCAGGCTGGTCTTGGATTCACTATGTAGCCTAGGCTGGCCTCACATTCCTGGCAATCCTCCTGCCTCAGCTTTCCAAGTGCTAGGAATCACAGACATGCCCAGTCCAGCTGATACCTTATTGCTGCTTTGGGAAAGACCTCTGAGAGCCTTTCTGGCTGAAAAAGATCCCCTCCTGGGTCTGGCAGCTCTGGGAACCAGAAAGAGCCCAAGCGCTTCTTTGACTTGCAAACCCACTGCGTGCACCATCCCCTCTTCCAGTCCAGCACCTCCAGAGGCACCATGTCTGTCCTTCCTGCTCCCAGGTCCAGGTGCCTGGCAACCAGGGACCCACCTGGAGCTTACGCCCTTCAAGGTTATTGGATTCAGCCAGCCCTAACCTGATTACCTGCCTGCCTTGCCACTGGGCAGAAATACCCTAAAGCCTGCTCTAGGTGCTCCCCTTGCTCCACCCCTCTGCCCTCCTGACCTGGTCGGTGCTTTCCCGCTGGTCCTGCTTGGCATCAAGCATCCTGGGAGTGTCATATTACAGTGTGTTTCCATGAGCCTCTCCTGAGTCTGGGGTTGCAGGCAGCCCTGACCCACCATCAGATAAAAGAACAGAGACCAGCACTCAGTGGAAGATGACTAGGTCTCTGCTCCTGGGTTTGCCTCACAGATTCCTCAAACAGAATCATTCAAGAAAGTGCACATGACTGGCAGGATGAGCTGGAAGGTTCAAGAACGATGTCAGAAGAGGCCCTGTCACCTCGTGATTGAGAGCCCTGGCTTTGGAGCTGGCCATTTGGGTTTGTTTCTAGGTTCTGCTGCTTCCCAGTCATGTGACTTTGCGAAAGTTACCTCATCTCTGTGCTTCATTTGTCCTCTGCAAAATGGAGGTAATGAACACCTCCCTCCCGAGTCACTAGAGGATTACAGTTAGTCAGTCTGCAGTGTCTGTCGATGCCACATCATGGGCTCAACCAAGCCCAGCAAAAAATACTCAGAGAAGAAAGGTGCGTCTACTAAACATGCACAGGTGTTTTTTCTTTTCATTATCTCCTAACCAATATAGTATAACAAGTATTTGCATAGCATTTGCATGATATTAGGAATTAAGTATTATAAGAAACCTAGACATCATCTAAAGTATATAGGTTGTACATAAGTTATATGCAAATAACCTGCTGTTTATTTAAAGGACTTAAGCACCCATAGATTTTGGGATCTGGGGGCTCTCTGGGCCCATCCGCCATGGATGCTGGAGAATGACTTGAACTTACCAGGCACTTAGAACCGTGCCTGGCATGTAGTTCCTTATGGTACAGTGTAAATATTATTATGTTGATTGTTAGTATACTAAAGGATCTTATCATTTTGTTAAGTATCAGTCACATCCCAAAATATCAATATCTTATAATTTTGTTAGGCTACTGTAGCAAATTAAAGCTATTGTTCACAGCTACTGCTGATAAATGATTCTTATGGCACACACCTGTAATCCCAGCATTCAAGAAGCTGAAGCAGGATTGCTGTGAGTTCAAGGGCAACCTGAGCTACAGTGAGACCCTGTCTCCCCCCCTTAAAAAAAAATCTTAGTTCTCTCAATTGATAGATAGACAGATAGATAGATAGATAGATAGATAGATAGAGGTAATCACCACCAAGGGACATTGCAGAATTGCGTTCCCTGATGTATTAGAACGACATTCACCCTAGGGAAACCCTCCCCCAAGAACAATCTGTCACTTTCCTGGTATGCAGAAGATGCCACCAAACTCAGTCACCCTGAGGAGGGATTGAGATCCACTTGCTCTCACAGCTGGGGGGATCCTTACAAACATCTGACGCTAGGGGAAAATTGACTTCAGGCGCATCCTTCGCTAGATCCCCACAGAAACTGGACACCCTCTCTGCTCTGCTATAGATGGAAAATTTCCCCCCACAGCGTCTCGCATTTGCAGGGCAACTGGATCATGAGGGCACTGTTCTCATCGGTGGATTCTTCATTCATCAGTTCAGCAGCTAACTGTGCGGTCAGGAGGCGGGGCCTGGTTGGAAGAGGTGGGTCACTGAGCGTGTGGCCCGGAAGGATGTATTCTTGACCTGCTCCCCCCACTTCCTGGTTGCAGGGAGGATAAACTGCTTTCCTCTGCCATCACTTTCCACCATGCATATCTACCTTGGAACCAGCCAGCTTTGGCAGAACTACTGAAAACTCAGCAAAATAAACCTCTCTGCTTTTAAGTTATGGGTGTCTGGTATTTTGTCCCAGCAACAGGAAAGAGACTAAAATACCTCCTCCACCATATACACACATCCTTCTTCCCCATGAGCCAAGGGGAAGAAAATACCACATATAAGTGGTCCCATTCTTGAGGCTCACTGCTAGCTGAGCGGAGCTCCACGCTGCGTACTGAGGGAGTAGGCTCTGCTTTCAATCTTTGTGTGACCGTGAGTGAGTCACACTCTGTCCCTGGGCCTCTGACTCAATTTTGTAAGGGGAAGTGGCCAAGGCAGTCACTCTGTGATCCAAGAGGCAGTAGGGGTCAGTGGTTAAGTATCTGTACACTGCGACCACATGTGTCTGCTACTGGGGTTGCGTCTACCTTTTGGCTACTTAAAATACTGCTGCTGTGGGTTTCACCATGTGAGTTTGTTTGCTGATTGGTTTGTTTGAATGCTTATGTATTTAGGAATGGGACTTCTAAGTCACCTGATGATTCTATTTTTAATTTTTTCCAGAAACACCAATTGTTTCCATAGCAGCCTACTATCTGACATTCTAATCGGCAATGTAAGAACGTTCCAATTTCTCCACATCCTCAGTAGCGCTTGGTTTTCTTCTTTTTGTTTTTGTTGTTTTGGAGTATAGCCATCCCAGTGGATGCAAAGCAGGATCTCACTGTGGTTTGGATTTGCATTTTTTAGTGACTGCTGACATACTTGATGGCCACTGTATCACTTCTTTGGATGTTCAAGTCCTTTGTCCATTTGGATGTTCAAGTCCTTTGTCCATGTGTTTTCTTATTGTTGTGAACTTATAAGAGCTCTGTATGTATAGTGGATGCAAGGCCCTTATCAAATGTATGATTTGTAATTATTTCCTTCCATTCTGTACATATCTCATAATGTCCTTTTGTTTTGGGGTATTTTTTGTGTGTGTATGTGTGTGCCAGGGATCCAACTCAGGTCCTTGTGCTTATGAGGCAGGCAGTGGCACCACTGAGCTAAATCCCCAGCCCTGTTTGTTTGTTTTTGGTACTGGGAATTGAATCCAAGGCCTTTGCAATGAGCTACATCCCTATCCCTTTTTCTTATTTTGTGACATGGTCTCATTTAAGTTGCCCAGTTTGGGCTCAAACTTGTGATCCTCTGGGATTGGCCTCCCAGAGTGTTGGGATTATATGTATTCCCATCACAAGAGTTTGATATGTCCTTTGATATATGAAAGTTTTTAATGTTGATGAAGTACAATGTGTCTATTTTTTCTTTCATTGCAGTATCACCTAAAATTTCTATCTTAGTTTTTTTTTTTTAACCTAGCATTTTTAAATACCTGCTGAGTCAGACACTGTATGTTGGGAGGAGGTTTTTTCCTCAGTTCCAGTGTGGCAGGACAGTGGTCAAAAATGCTTTCAGCTACAAGTAACAGACCATCAAGTTGTCAAGTGGCTTAACTAATAAAAATATTCAATTACTTCATATAATAAGAAACCTGGAAGCACGCAATTCCAACAGCAAGCTTTAGCTGCTCTACTGTGTCATCAAGAATCCGGATTCTTCTACTTTTCACTCTGCTGTCCAGAGTATGCTACCTTTTCATCTGCAGGCTTGCTTGTTGCTTCATGGTTGCAATATGGTTACCACTGCTCGAGACATTAGATTTTGATACAATTTCTTCCAAAGCCAGAAAGGAAAAGGGTAGTCAATAGCAAGAGAACTTATTTCCTCTTTTGTTTTCTCACACCCTGGCTTCCTGTCATCTTCTTGATTTACCTCATACTCTTTCAATTTTAGCCAGGAAAGAATTTCTTCCCCAGAAGAAATTGTATCAAAGGGCCAGGAAACAGTGGCATGTGATCTCTTTAAAGTAGAGCTTTGGAGGCAAACAGCTTGGGTCTTGACTCGTGATTGTCGTTCTCCACTCACGGGACATTGGGGCATTTCATCTTCCTAGAGACCAATTCCTCCATACCACCAGATCACCTTCACAAGGCCATCTGAGGATTAAATTCAATATCTGCCACCCGACACTCTCCTACTATGAGGCACTGTGGCTGCCATTGCTATAGCGTGGTCCACATTACTGTATCTCTGTCCTTCCATTGTCCTTGATGTATGTGTAGACTGTTAAAATGGTGTAGTAAGAAACCATAAGCTTGACAGTGCAAAAATGTCATTTCTTGGTACAATATCCGAATGATGAATGTAACTGTACTGTATACCCAAAATGTACCAATAAACTCATTGAGAAAAAAAACCACAAATGCATGTTTCATAATGAAAAAAATGTCATTTATTCATTTTCATTATATCTTTTTTTCTCTCATTGAGATTATTGGTACATTTTGGGTATACAGTACAATTACATTCATCATTGGGATCTTGTACCTTTACATGACAGGTCTTGGTTCTCATTTTTTCCCTTGTCTCTGCCCTCCCTTCACCCTCCCTCCCCTCCCCATTTACAAACACTTTATTTCCATTTTTTCATTTTCTCATATATTTTTCCCTTATTACCTTTTTCATTATATCTTAAGGAAATGTCTACATCGACTCTTCATTCCTGTTGGTGATGGAAACATAGTCTCAGTCAACTTCCCCTACTCTTCCCAGGATTGCAGCTAGCCACTGGCCAAGTCCCAGGGAAGGGCATCACTCACTCCCCCAGCAGGTATCCACCTGGTCTTTGGTCACAGGATCAGTCAGGGTTCAACTAGGGAAACTAGAGATACAGAATCTGTCTGTAGATATTAACACATAAACAGATACACAGATATGGGTGTAGACATAGATGACATAGAAATAGGTGATATGTATATAGATATGCTCAGCCCTATGTACCAGTGGGTGTCACACCCACAGGCAGCCAACTACAAATTTAAAATATTGGAAAAAAATTATGTCCACATTGACCATGTACAGACCATTGTTGCCCAAATAATGTGGTACAACTCTTTACACAGCCTTTACATTACATTAAAGGTATATAAGTAATCTAGAGATTGTTTAAATTATAAGACTATGTGCCTGGGTTATACACAAATGCTGTGCCATTTTAAATAAAGAACTTGGGTATCCATAGATTGTGATATCTGAGGGTGTCTCAGAGGCAAACCCTAAAGGTATCACAGGCAGACTTTTCCTCTTCTTCCAAGGAGCCTCTCAGTTCTAGAGTTTTTCAACTGGTGGAATGAGACTCACTGAGATTATCTGGGACAATCCTCTTCACTTAAAGTAAACTGATAATAAAGTAATCACATACACTAATGCCTTCAAGTAATGTCTAGATCAGGGTTTGATCAGATGCCTAGAGACCATAGCCCAGCCAAGTCAACACATAAAACAGAGTCGTCAGGGCACTGTCCTTGTTGTTCTCTGGGGCACCTGGCCTGGGGTGACTCAGACCAGCACAGGGTGTGGGGAGGATCCTGAACTCACACCGATAACCTGGATTTAAATCCCGTTCTGCCATGACCACCCTTGAGACACTGGACAAGTTACTTAACCTCCCTAGGCCTCTTTTTTTAAAAATTAAAATGGGGATAATGACAGCACCCACCTCTTATAGTTATCGAAAGGATCAAAGAGAGCAACACGTGGAAGTTGCTTGGAACTATGGCCAATGCAGAAAGTTCAAACGTATCCGGGTTCGTGCCTGCTCTTGTTGCACGCTGGGGACAGAAATTCATGGAGATCTCCGCTCTTAGATCCCAAACTTTAAGCCTGAGAGGGGGTGCATTATTGAGCTGACAGCCCAGGGCGCCGCAGACCCCAAAGCCGGTCCTGCCCTTGAGCGCGCCCCCTAGAGGAAGTAGGAGCGACCGCCAGGTGTGAAGTAAGAGCTGTGATCTTTGGGGACGCTCGCGGCGGGGCTTCGTAGCACAGAAGGACGACGTTTTCTTCTCCCCCTCACGTCCAAAGATAGGTGTGCTTCTTGGCCTCCACGCTTTCCAAATGTGACGGTGACGGAGGCCTGCCGCGTCTCCTGCCGCGGGAGGCAGAGGCCGGCAGGGACGCGCCTCCAGGGGGCGCACCCGGGCTTC